ATGGTGAGTTGCAGGTAACGGAGCACGATACAGTGCTTCTTGTTGGTTGTCACCCGCGGCGTTGCCAGCGAGTTCGAGGATCTCAGCGGCAAGGTATTCGAGGACGGCGGCGAGATAGACTGATGAAAAGATTAGGAAAAAACAAGTTATGAAGGCAAAGACGACGCACCAGGTGCACTGGCGCCGACGCACTGTACGTATTTGCTCTTGTTCACCAGACGGTGGATATGACCAATGGTGAACTGGAGACCGGCTTTGGAGGAGTGCGACTGGGACTTCAACGCGTCGCTAGAGCCCGCAGCCTTGCCAGACTTGAATTTGCCGCTGACTTTTCCGGACATTGTGCGCATAGGGGGGCAAGTGGTGACGGGTTCTAGATGCACTGCATGCCACAGCTTCTCTCTGATTTTCAGTGAGCATTCCGCAGCCGTTGTGTCTTTAATTAATATGAATTGTCAGTTCTGGCCTCAGGAGAAGGGGACAGTGAGCATTCACCGTAGATTCTCCCTTTTCCACCTACCCACCGCTGCGCACCAGCTTCCGGCGTCTGAGAAAACTTAGCGAGCGAAGACAAGCCTGTGACTATTGCGAAAGTTTGAAGCGGTTCAGCGAGAACTCGTCGAAAAGACAGGTGTGGCCGATGGCCGCAGACGCGTGGTACTGTACTCCGAGTGCAAGAGAAGCAAGATCACAGTTTTTTTGCAGAGGCAGGAGAAGAAGATAGAGGACTGTGATTCGACATCTTGGCGCTATCTGGGAGTCTTGTCCTGGACTCGGGTGGTGAGCGACAGGCCCAAAGGGCAAGGGACGACGAAGGGTCGGCGCAAGGTCGGCGTGAAAGGAACGTAAGGCGCGGAGGTAACGCGCGATCTGTCAGATTACTACCTCGATCACCGGCAACTAACAAATGGGGAAGGTTCCGCTATCTCTACGGTTTACACGATTTACAATTCAGTCTGTAAATTAAGTCAAATAAAGACACTTATTCCTGCGAGAATCAAGTGGAGAGCTTAAAGCATCCCAAATAAGGGAAAATAAGAGGAATAAAAACAAGGAACTTTGTTGAAAAATGAGCCATATGTGCCCATATCTATTTGAAGAAACCGTGCCCGCCATATTCATAGCCAGAAACCTTGCGAAACCTTGGGTGGGACCTTGCACTACTTTGCGAGAGTCTGGGACTTCCGCCGTGCTTTGGGAGTATTCCTGGAATTGAGGAAATCCCAAAACGGTTTCGTTCTGGGCGCGCACTCCGGGGGCCTGGTCATCGGCAAGCCCGGTCATCCGCCATCACGCTGTCGGCAATCTCACTAATCAGCATAGTGCTCTTGTTTTCCATACACCTCCGAAAAAGTAAATCAAAAACCCAAAGATTTTATAAAGAGTTTGAAGTTTTGTGTGTTTCGCTTCGTGCAGATGGCAGTACCTCACGATCGCGGACGCCAATGTTACCGCCGTCATAAATACTCTAGATTCAAACATCATCCGTTCCGATGACCCACGGTGATTATCTGAGATCTACCACCAGCTCTCAGGCAGGAATCAGTCAACACCACTGGGCACGCCTCGCTCTGGTTCCGGTTCGCATCCCCGGAGTCGGAAGGTTGAAGGTTGACATATGGTTTTTTTTCATTGCTGCGGTACCGCATTTCCAACTTAGTATTTCACGAGAATCTCTGTTGAAAAGGGCAAGTTCCATTTGCGTGATTCACGATTGTAAGCACTCTCCAATACATCTTGCCTTCTAACATCTTTATTCTTGGTTGTTTTTATTGGCTCATTGTTGGCTGATATGCCTGACTACACTGGCTCTGACGCACCAAGCAGAGTACACTGCGCTGCTCAACCGCCAAATGCGAAATGTCAATCAACTGTCAAGTGTCAATCAATCAGATAGAAGACACCGATCTCCTTGGCATCAATCTGACTGAAATCGGGAGTCCGAGGCACAACCCAGAGAGGATATGCATCAGTAGCTGGCTAACGGACACATCTCGATAGCATGGCATCAGACTTTTGACAAAGATCTTGTGAGCTTGTACAAGACCCAACAAGGTCGCAAGATGCACCAAAAGTGCCGCAAGATCGCAAGACCGCAAAGCCAGTCGAGATTCTCACAAGACCACTCATTCAACTCTGGCTGGGGGCGTAAATTGTGAGAATTGAAAGGCTGTTGGATACCGCACGGTTGCTATAAATTTTGAGAGGACTCGTCAGAACTCTCACAGCCTTCTTGTATCTTATTTGTGCATTTTTTGGAAGGTTTTTTCTTGCACTTTGACCTTGTGAGCTTGTTCCCAAGCTCACAAGGTCCGAAAGACTGCAAGATTTTTGTCAAATCGCTGATGGGGGATCACCAAATTTGCATTCTGTGTGAAAGGAAATTGAGTTTGTCCAGTGTCAAAATGCGGATGCTGTCCCCATGACGGCCGTTCCGTCGCCTGTGCCATCCCGTAGGACTTTTTCAAAGCTGCATGATGGAACAGAAACAGGATGGGTCATCCCTTGTACGCCCGTTGAAATAACGGCCGTGCCCGTCACAGGCATGGCACACATCCTTAGTGTCTCCCAATACACCATTCATTCCAAGTATCTGATTCATAAAGGGTCAGGACTGGCCCGGGGAATCAACATAAGTTTAAGTAAGTTGTCCCGGGTGCAAAGTATGCAAATCTCACTCCCATGCGAGAGCCCTGTTACACGGAGTGTGTTGCAGAGGTTGTGACTCGATGCCAAGGCGATCGGCATCTTTTGCTTGTTGCGTCGGAGCCAGCGTAGTCAGGTGTATGGGGTATCGAGATCTGCTATTTTTACAAGCTTAGGCTCCCTTCTGAGCAACAAAAAAAATTGACCCCAAAAGCTGTGAAGAAATTTTCGAACTGAAAAGGTTGGTCAAGTCCGAAACAAAAGTTGTTGAAATTGTAAGTCTGGTAATAAAAGGAGGGGAAAAACACAGATCCCCACCTTATTTCGAGCTTCAAAAGTGAGCAAAGTGGAGAAACTTGCAAAATTTACCATAAAAGCTGGTGAAAATGCGAAAAAAGGTGGGCAATAATAAAAGTGCATTTGGAACGGCATACTATTCAGCCTCAATCGTCCCTATATATTGAGCTCGTGTTCAGCCTGGAAATTTGACTCGCATCCACAATGTGTAGAACAGTTATGGTCTACTGCGATGGTGGAAGGTGCCTGTTCGATCCAGGCCTGAGTCATTCTTTCTCAGGCATCTTTGCTTTTTGGGTCGAGTATATATAGATAGTAAGCATCATGGCGATTGCCGCAATAGCTAAAGAAATTCGAACATCCTCCGTCACGATAGCCCCACGGAGGTCGGATTCACGAATGCAAACTGGGAGAGGGAACAGTAGTGCAAAGGGAGAAGGCATTGATTTTCTTCGCTTTCTTTTCGATGCGGCGATCAATCTTTAAACTTCGAATTGGCTGCTGCCTCAGTTTCCGGTTTTCAGCACGCACAGGTTCTCATTCAGTGCTCTATCATCCTCATACTCTATATTGAGGTCGAGTTCGCGGTAGAAGTATGACTCGGTCGCGGATGGTCCGCATCCCCAACGTCTCAGAGATGTTGTTGTCCGTCATCGTGGAAGATGCCTGTTCGATTCAGGCCCGAGTCCTGTACACAAAAAGTCAAGTTGTGCTGGAAACAGGGCTCCCGAACCCTCCCGCCGCCGGTTTCGTTTCACTCAGCATCGTACTTATTTGAAGACTCGTTAGCGGATGGCCCGCGTCCGCTTAACATGATCTCGATCCGTGACTCTGAATGTGGAAGCCGCCTGTTCGAATCAGGCCCGAGTTCTATCTCGGCAACGGGGATTTTTTCTTCCCCAGGCCAAGATTCTTTCTGATTATCCCCACTAGTGATCTACCCTCCCAGATCCCACAAAAGCCACAGCCCTCATCAACTCACTTACACACGCTTTCTTGCTTTCTTTCTCTTCACCAGTTGGGCAAAGAGGCGAACCCAGCTGCGCATTGAAGGCAAAAAAATCTGCCACCCTTAGTCGCCCGCATGCAACCAAGCGTCAATGGACTTAAGTAGGAGCAACACTCGGTAGCAGATGGCCCGCGTCCGCATAACATGATTTCGATCCGTGATCCTGAATGTGGAAGACGCCAGTTCGAATCAGGCCGAGTCCTAAGCCTACAATGGACCTCCTTTTGTATGGCTTTTTAAGTTTTTTGGGTTTCGCTTCGCGCGTAGAACAGTAATAGCTCACGATCCCCGGGCCCACCGCCAGATTCGAACTGTGCTCAGCTTCCGCATCAGCAAAATCAGGGTCCTTTTGTAGCGAGGGTCCCGGTTTACGTAGTGATCCGTAGCGATCTGTAGAACTACGTAGTGGCGTAAACTACGTAGTTCTACAGATCGCTACGGATCACTACGTAAACCGGGACCCTCGCTACAAACACACCCAGCTTTTGCTGATGCGCTCCGTGGTGGGTATGCATATCCACGACCAGCTCCCAAGCCCGTTGCCTGAATAAACCGTGGTTTCAGCTTTCCGCCGTTTTCGTTTCCGTTACCGTACTTAGTAGTTATTCGCCCGCTTGCAACCAAGCTTCAATCAATCTATGGAGGAGCAAGACTCGGTAGCGGGATGGCCCGCGTTCGCTTAGCATGAGCTCGGTTGTAGACCCTACATGCGGAAGCCGCCTGTTCGATTCAGGCCCGAGTTCTGTCGGACGTGTACATTTTTTCTTCGCCAGGCCAAGATTCTATCTGAATTAGATTAGCCCTCCCAGTGATCCACCCTCCCAGATCCCACAAAAGCCACAGCACGCATCACCTTACTTACCCACCCTTTCTTACTTTCCTTTTTAATTTTCTACTAATTGGGCAAAGAGGAGAACCCAGCCAGCTGCGCATTCAAGCCACAAACGCACTTCCGCCGATTCCGATTCCGATTCCGATTCCCTCACCATCTTACTTATAATTATTCGCCCGTATGCAACCAAGCTTCAACGCAGGTATGTAGGAGGAAGACTCGGTAGCGGATGGCCCGCGTCCGCTTAACATGCACTAGTTGGAGACAATACATGTGGAAGCCGCCTGTTTGAATCAGGCCCGAGTCCTGATATTACTTTCGAACTCCTTTTTTTGCAGTTTTCAAGCTTTTTCGGTTTCACCTCGTGCGTAGGACAGTAAGACTTAGTATGTACCTCACGATCGCAGGGTGCGCCGCCCTAAATACAATACCCAAGATTCGAACTGTGAATTGTGAACATCATCCGTTCCGATGGCTCCGTGATATGTAGATCCACAACCAGCTCCCAGGCAGGAATCAATACACACACACACCATTGCTCGACGCGCCTCGTTATGGTTCTGGTTCTGGATCTGGTTCTGGTTCTGATTCGCATCCCCGGAGTGGGAAAGCTGACCTAAGGTTAAAGCTGACCTAAGGTTGTGCGTGTTAAAGAGGCGCGAATTTCGGATTCCGAGAAAGAGACGAAAAGAGAAACGGGAAGGAGAGCAAGGAAGGAAACGCAAAGAAGGGCAAGGAAAGGAGGCGAGGAGGAGGGGAGAGCAAGGAGGGAAAAGAGGGAAACGAAATGATGACAAAAGAAAACCACCAGAACACGCCAACGTTACAGGCAATAGAAAGAAAGGGCTGAAGGGTGAGGGCGAAGAGAAGTTAGCGCGACGCGAATGCGCAGCGTAAGAGCACCCACACCCGCCGCGCGGCCAGGCAAGCTGAACGTGAACCAAGCCCAGCGTGGAGGGTGAGCGACGCGTGCGATTGTCAGGTGGCGAAAAGGGATTCGCAAAGCGAAGTAAGTTGGGAGAGCAGAGACGCGGCCCGATACGCACGGGAGCTGAAAGCCGAAAGCACGAGCGGGCGGGGGAACGCGACGAGAGTGAAAACAAACACAAAAGGAGAGACATCCGGGGTGCGTGTAGGGAGCGGCGCACACACAGCACTGATGTGTACTCTGTATGCTGCGTGTAAGCAAAACCTAACTGCGCGCGCTCGGCGCGCCGAGACGAGACGAGACATTTCAAGGGAGAGGGATAGAGTATTGCAGAAGGAGGAGAGGGATGGATCCGGAGTCGATGGATCAGGATGGGATGGGATGCAGACGAACGGAATGACATGAGGGCGGACAGCACCCTCACCAGTACACCAGATCCTCAACGGGGCGGCGGCGGAAAGCGGGCTGGAGTCTCGCATGTCGTTCGTAGTATTTCGAGAACTGCGAGACGAGACGAGAGACGCGTGAAGAGAAGAAAAAAAATACGGTCTCATGAATCATGCGCAAAGGCGCACAAGCAAGGGGGGTAGACTGCGTGTCAACGCGCGTCCGGGTGAGGTGGGGTGGATGTAATTGTGATTGTAATTGCGACATTAACATTAACAAGCGATAGATGCATAGCGAGGGCGTCGCGCCGTGGGACGTATTTTGGCTGGTGCTCCGTCTCTCGGTGCTGGGCACACGACGCGGCGCTCATGCAGCAGGTGCGGTGGCGGCGACCGCCTTCGCATCGACGGGGGCCTTGACCTCGGGCGGCGGCCGCGTGAGGGAATTTTTGCGGATGTGGGTCTGGGCGGGCCGAGCGAAGGCCGAGTGATAGCAGGGGGCGCAGGCGGCATGGACGAGAAGGGCGAGCGATGGGGAGGCGAAACGAACGATTCAAAGCGCGGGTAGGAGGACAGGAGAAAAGAGACAGAACATTAGTACAGCGTAATATGACACATTCGCTCTGTCTGTCCGCAGTGGAAGCACTTCGGCGGCTGCTTGCAGTCCTTGAGGATATGCCCCGGCTGGGCGCAGCGGAAGCACTGGGGGGCGCGGCGTACAGCGCCTAGATTCGCTTCGGGTCCGGGTTCGGGCAGTCCTTGCGCCGGTGGTCTTCGACGCAGATCGTGTGCTTTCGCACTGTTTGTGCCCTTCGCGGCAGCCGCTTGGGCTGAATAGAGAAGAGAGGAAATGCGAAGAATCAGAGATGAGGATTCAATATTCAATATGCATGGGCGGAGAAGAGAACAGAAAGGAAGCAAGCATGCACCACCAGTGTATCATCCCGCGCCTCTTACGCCCTCCATCGATCGTCGCTGCTGGGGCCTCGGTCGACGCACGCAGAGCATTCCCACCAGCCCAGGGCGACCGCAATAGTTGAAGTAGTAGAGGCTGAGCAAAGGTGAGGGACAGCCGAGAGCAGGTTATCCGAGCAAAGTGAAAAATGATGATGTCGCGATCACGTGTGGGAGATGGCGTGGCGCGCACGGACCAACGTTAATTGATTCGTGATTCGCGCGTAGATGCAGCGCAAGCACAACCGCCACGGGTCAAACGTGTCTCTTGGGAAGAAAAATCTGCATGTATAACACTTGCCCATGTTTCCTACATGCCTTCTCAGTTTTCATGCAGCTGCTCCGAATCCTGAACTGTTGGTCTGAATATTCGACCGCCTCCGCGTTCAACCTCAATAGGAATAAGACCTGGAGTGGAACTGGCCCCACCCGCGCACCATAATTTTCAAAAAATTGAATTATTTGTGAGGTCTGTGTTCGACTAGTATGCTGTTCCAAACGTCACATTATTCCTTTTGGGAATTTTTTTTGGGGAGGTGAAATTTTTTTTGGCCAAGTCTCAGATCACCTTTATACTACATACCTACATACTAGGGGAGTACAGTATGCTCAATCTCATAGGAATTGAGTGTCAAGTGCATGGATCAGGCTCAGAAAGCAACTTTGGCCCAACCAGCTAAGCGATAGGAGCATCACTGTCACAGCACATGACGTGGCCAAAAACACACCACTGTGGTGAGTTTTTGACCACGTACGGTCACACCCCCGTGTGCCGTGACAATGACGCTCCTATCTTATCGGATTTCTGACATCCTTACAGAAATGCCAAAGTTCAGTATTAAGGATGATGTATGCCCTCAATTACTACAATACCTGAACTCTTAGCTGCTATTGTCAGCCCTAAGGTCTGCAGCTGTTGATATATGTACTACCACAAAAAAAAAAAAAAAAAAAAAAAAACCACAGTGGCTCTCATCTTTGTCTATGGGTATTAATATTGATCTCTGGTCCTCCCTCCTACCTGTCTGAGCAGGGCAACTAAAAGGGTGTTGAGTTGGAAGCAAAAGAGGTTTCAGAGTGGCTGTGCACAGTCAGCCGGTTGGGCCGAAGTTGCTTTCTGAGCCTGATCCATGCACTTGACACTCAATTCCTATGAGGTTGAGCATACTGTACTCCCCTAGTATGTAGGTATGTAGTATAAAGGTGATCTGAGACTTGGCCAAAAAAAAATTTCACCTCCCAAAAAAAAAAATCCCAAAAGGAATAATGTGACGTTTGGAACAGCATAGACTAGAGGCGAAATCATCAATCTTTTAACTGAACAGAACAAGTACCCTGGGCGACTTAAATTGCTCGCTTCATGTGTCTTGGGCGAGCAACGTAAGTAGCCCAACGTACTTGTTTAGTTCAAACTCGTGACCTGGACAGCAATGTCCACCTCTGGGATATATTCAAGGGCAGGTGATGTGCGATGGCGTAAGTTTTCATTTTGGTTTCCTCAATTGCCCTCCCCCAATTTTGGGGCTCCAATCCCACGTCCCTCCCGGAGCCGCCGTTTTCGTTTCCCTCACCGTCGTTTGTCGCCCGCATGCAACCAAGCTTCAATGTAGGTAGGAGCAAGACTCGGTAGCGGATGGCCCGCGTCTGCTTAACATCATCTTGGTGGACACCCTCCATGGAAGCCGCCTGTTCGAATCAGCCCCGAGTTCTGTATCAGCAACGGCGACCTTTTTCTTCGCCTGGCTAAGATTCTATCTGATTAGCCCCACCAGTGATCCACCCTCCCAGATACCACAAAAGTCATTGACTTATTTAGAGAGTCTTTCTTTCTTTCTCTTTCTCTTCTACCAATTGTGCAAAGAGGCGCACCAAGCTGCGCATTCAAGCCAAAACGGAACTTCCGCCGTTTCCATTTCCGTTTCCCTCACCATCGGACTTATGGGCCCGCATGCAACCAAGCTTCAACGTAGGTAGGAAGGTGCAAGACTCGGTAGCGGATGGCCCGCGTCCGCTTAATATCAGCTTGGTGGAAACCCTACTTGTGGAAGGCGCCTGTTCGAATCAGGCCCGAGTTCTGTCGGCTGTGTACATTTTTTCTTCGCCAGGCCAAGATTCTATTTGATTACCCCTCCCAGCGATCCACCCTCCCAGATAAGTACCGCAAAAGCCACAGCACGCATCAACTTACTTGCACGCCCTTTCTTTCTTTCTCTTACACTTCACTAATTGTGCAAAGAGGTGCACCAAGCCAGCTGCGCATTCAAGCCAAAACGGAACTTCCACCGGTTTCGTTTCCGTTTCCGTTTCCCTCACCATCGTAGTACTTATTCGCCCGCATGCAACCAAGTTTCAATGTATGTAGGGAGGAGAAAGACTCGGTAGCGGATGGCCCGCGTCCGCTTAACATAAACCTGATTCTGAACGTACATGTGGAAGGCGCCTGTTCGAATCAGGCCCGAGTCCTCATTCCGCTTTGGAACAACTTTTTACGGTTCCCAAGCTTTTTGGGGTTCGCTTCGCGTGTCGAAGAGTAAGTAGTATGTACCTCACGATCCCCGGGCGCGCTGCCATAAATACAATGTACCCTAGATACGAATCATCCCTTCCCGATGGCTCCGTGGTGGGTATGGTATGTAGATCCACAACCAGCTCCCAGACAGGAATTAATACAAACACACCATTGCTTGACGCGCCTCGTTCTGATTCTGATTCTGACTCGCATCCCCGGAGTCGGAATGTCAAGGGCTGACCTAAGGTTGTGCGTGTCAGCGATAGGGTGACTTGACCTCCTCGCGATTCAAAGAGAATTTCGGGTTCCGCAAGAGAGGCGAGAGGAGGAACGGAAAGGACCGCCGGGAAGGAAACACAACAAGGGCGAGAAAGGAGGAGAGGAGAGCAAGGAAGGAAGGAAAAGACGGCAGCGAAACGATGACAAAAGCAGACAACCAGAACAAACACGCCACCGTCACAGGCAGTAGGAAGTAGGAAGGGCTGAATGAAGGGTGAGGGCGAAGAGAAGTTGGCGCGACGCGTACGTATGCGTAGCTTACGAGTACGCACACCCGCCGCGCGGCTAGCCAAGCTGAATTTGAACCACGCCAAGCGTGGGGGGTGAGCGGCGCATGCGATTGCCAGGTGGCGAGAAGCGATTCGCAAAGCAAAGTAAGTAGGGAGAGCAGAGACACGGCCCGATACGCACGGTCGGCGAAAGCCGAAAGCACGAGCGGGCGGGGGGAGTGAAAGCAAACGAAAAAGAAGAGCCATGGGGCTGCGGGTAGGGAGCGGCGGACGCACGCACACACGCACAGCGCTGATGTGTACTCTGTATGTACGCTGCATGTACGCAAAACCTAACCGCGCGCCAAGACGAGACGAGAGGAGACGTTTCAAGGGAGGGATAGAGTATCGCAGGAAGAGAGGGATGGGTCAGAAGTCGAGGCATCAGGATGGGATGGGATGGGATGGGATGTAGACGAACGGAACGACACTAGGCGGACAGAAACCTCACCAGACACCAGATCCTCAGCGGGGGCGACGGAAAGCGGGGTGGGAGAACTGCGAGACGAGACGAGAGACGCGTGAGGATAAGAAAAAAAATGCGCGCGCATGAATCATGCGTAAAGGCGAACAAACGAGTATGGCGGTCTAAGTGCACTTTTATTCCGCCCCTTATTTATAGGTGATTTCGGGAGTTTCGGCCCCACAGATAGGTGTTTTGACGCCCTCCGCACTAATTAGATAAAGATAATCACAGATTTAACTTGCGGGGAAATCAGTGATTCCCGCCCCACTTAGACACAAAATTCCGCCCCATATAGATGCACGCCCGCCCCACTTTTGGTGCCCGCCCCACTTCTGGTGCCCGCCCTATTTTTGGTGCCTGCCCAACTTGTGAACTCCAGTGCAACTTTTGTTGATAAATTCAAGCTCCTGCGACACGACATAGGCAAATCAGAGCAATCATTCCAGTTACTTTAAATTTCAAGGCATGCATCTAAATTTCACGAAAAACAGTGATTTCCCTCCAGAAGGCTCAGTTCTTTGCTAAATGCCTTGAAAGAAACACCAACTGGGGCCAGAAAGTGTTCTCCAGTGCATAGGTTGTCCCCTGCATTTATTTTTTTCACTGACAGCTTTGCAAGCAAGACCAGATGTTTTTCCGCTGTTGTCCCTGGAGAAAGACTTTGAATGCCCAGATTTCTGGTTTGGTATTCTCCGATGTACCCAGTATAGCACTGGACAGTTGGATAAGGACAGTAGACTCCCGTTGCTTCACAGGTAGCATGCCAAAAGTGATGGATTTATGTGAGCCAAGCCCAGGCTTTTGAGCCCAATCCAGGCCCGACCTGAGGCAGGGCTCAGGTATGGCTCAGGGTCAGGGTCAGAATTTTGGGTGACCCGCTGTAACAGATGGAGATGTTTGCCATCAAACTCCGACCAACACCGCATCACTTTTGGTTGGAAACCTTGTCGCACCAACACAAGGTCGTCACAATACACATGGACTTCCCTTTATGCCATTATGCTATGTGTGAGTTTCCCTTTATGACCTATATGTAGACAAGTATGATTAGATATGTATCTAGGTTGATATGTTTAGTTGGTTAGATAGCTTCTCTTGAATTGAGACTTTACTACGCATTTGGTTCAGCAAGACTCTTTCCAAATGCTTAATTGTTCCACTTTGGGTCCTGTTGCTCCAGAATCGCTCAGGAACCTCGGTGGCGTCACACCCACGACCCGGGCTTGAGTCCAGGTTGGACTATACACAGTATACACGGGAAAATGGATGAGCAAATAGCATTTAGACTTTGAGTTTGAAGAATTAAAGTTGATTTTTCTATTGGCCTCAACCTGTATCTATTTCAACCGGTAGAATTACTTACTGCACTGGATTATCCTGGCACTCTGATGGGAATACAACTTGATCAAGCCCCTCGGGAGGGGTGTATGATATGGTTCAAAAAAGTTTTCTACACTCATGGAGGTGTGTTATGCCTCGAAAGAAGTATTACAATTCAACAGCTTACCAGAATAAAGTTTGAACAAAATCCTCTCAAGGCCAAGCCCAACCCGACCCGACCCAAGCCTGGGAACTGCTTGCTGTTCAAAATGAATATTCTGCATAGACTGTGCAATGTGGGAAGTTGATAGGAGTACATTGAAACAGATTCTGAAGGTTTTGGTAAAGAACTGATCCTTCTGGAGGGAAATCACTGTTTTTGATGAAAATTTGATGCATTCCTTAATAAAGTAACTGGAATGATTGCTCTGATTTGCCAATGTCGTGTCGCAGGAGCTTGAATTTATCAACAAAAGTTGCACTGGAGTTCAGAAGTCGGGCAGGCACCAAAAATAGGGCGGGCACCAGAAGTGGGGCGGGCGTCAAAAGTAGGGCGGGCGTGCATCTATATGGGGCGGAATTTTGTGTCTAAGTGGGGCGGGAATCACCGATTTCCCCGCAAGTTAAATCTGTGATTATCTTTATCTCATTAGTGCGGAAGGTGTCAAAACGCCTATTTGTGGGGCGAAACTCCCGAAATCACCTATAAATAAGGGGCGTAATAAAAGTGCACTTAGACCGCCATAAACGAGGGGCTCCGTGTCTGCGCACGCGCGTACGGGTGAGGTGGGGTTGATGTAATTGTAATTGTAATTGCGACATTAACATTAACAGATAGATGCATAGGGAGGGCGTCGCGCCGTGGGAGGTATTTTGGTTTGCGGTAAGTCTCACGGTGCTGGGCATGCGACGCGGCTCTCATGCAGCAGGTGCGGCGGCGGCCTGCGGATTCGCAACGACGGGGGCCTTGACCTCAGGCGGCGGCCGCGTGGGGCAGTTTTTGCGGATGGGGGTCCGGGCGGGGGGAGCGAAGGCCGAGTGGTAGGAGGCGGCGCAGGCGGCACGGACGGGATGGGCGAGCGATGGGGAACGAGCGCGGCGACGAAGGGCGAACGACGAAAGGCACTTAAAAGCGCGAGTAGAAGGACGGGAGAAAAGGGACACAAAATTAGTACAGCGTAATATAATATATTTGCTCTGCACACACCGTCTCCCCGCAGTGGAAGCACTTCGCCGGCTGCTTGCACTCCTTGAGGATATGTCCCGGCTCGCCGCAGCGGAAGCACTTTATGAGCGCGGCGTACAGCGCCTCAATGCGCTTCGGGTCGGGGTTCGGGCAGTTGTTGCGCTGGTGGCCCTCGATGCCGCACGTGACGCAGATTATAGGCTCTTTGCATTCGGACCGTTTGTGCTCTTCGCAGCGGCAGTTTGGGCTGCAAAGGAATTTCGTGAGCATAGGATAAACAGGCCATGGTAGGAGGTGTAGAAACGGTCCCCGCACGCAGAGCATTCCCACCCAGTCTAGGGCGACCGCAATACTCCTCAAAGTAGCAGAAATTAAGCAAAAGGGAGACAGCCAGGGAGGCGGGAGGGAAAACAGCGGGGCGAAGGAACGAGAGCATCGACATTGGTCGGCTGGTCGTGCGAGCAAGTGGAATTGGTGAGTCGAAAAACAAAGAAAAGCCTGGGAGTCACGATCACGTGCGACAAATGAGATCGCGTGGCGCGCACGGAGTAATATACCCTCTACTAGCAAAGCCACTGGCGGCCACCAGTGGTCACCAGTGGCTGTTGGCGGCCAACCACTCGGGGAAATCCGATGAATCAGGGCGCCCGGAAACATTTCAGAAACTAAAAGGTTCTGGAACGGGTTCCGGAATGTGGAAACGGTTTCCGAAACTTTTAGTTTCGGAAACTGTTCCCTCTGCCCAGAAACCATTAGTTTTCGACTTAATTTCTACCCTCCTGGAACTTAGAGTTTCGTGAACAGTTCCGGTGTGCCGAAAATTGTTCCCAGAACTATTAGTTTCGGAAACAGTTTCCGCTGCCCCGAAACTTTTAGTTCCGGGGCTGCCGAATCTGTTCCTCATTCTTTTGGTTTCGGGATCCGTTCCGGCTGCACCGGAACTAGAGGTTTCGGGAACAGTTTCGGTGGAGCCGAAACTGTTCCTGAAATTTTAAGTTTCGGCTGCACTGAAACTCATGGCAGTTAAGTTCCGGGGCACCCGAAACCCTTAATTTCAGGAACAGTTCCGGCTTTCCCCAAACTGTTCCCAAAACCTTTAGTTCCGGTGCAGCCGAAACTGATCCCGAAACCAAGAGAATCAGGAACAGTTTCGGCAACCCCGGAACTAAAAGTTTCGGGGCAGCGGAAACTGTTTCCGAAACTAATAGTTTCGGGAACAATTTTCGGCACACCGGTACTGTCCACAAAACTATTAGTTCCGGCGGTGCAGAAACTAATTCGAACACTAAAAGTTTCAGGCCACAGGAAACGGTTTCCGAAACTAAAAGTTTCGGAAACCATTTCCACAATCCCGGACCCATTCCAGAAACTTTTAGTTTCGGAAACATTTCCGGGCGCCCTGATTCAACGGATTTCCCCGAGTGAACGTTACCT